GCAGAAATTCAATGTCAGATATAAAACAGTTAGCAATCCCGCGCAGCACACAATTAATAAACACTTATTACAATAACTAATCACTATCATCTCATCCAAAAAAACATAATCCAAACTCGCCAACCATTTTCCATTCCTATGTTCATTACCAATTATTGCACTAGTTATTCGAACGCCTGCTCAAACAACCAGGTCTTAACTTTTTTACGGAATACCATTAGAGATGGTGCTAGCCTAATGTCCGTGGGAAGGGTGTTCCACAGCCGAGGGGCCACCACTGAGAAGGCCCTATCTCTCGTCCCCGCCAACCGTGCTTGAGAAGCAGGCGGGATTAAGAGTAGGGCCTCCCCGGAAGATCTCAAAGCCCTGGTGGGTTCATAGGCAGAGATGCGGTCAGATAGGTAACTTGGGCCGGAACCGTTTAGGGTTTTAAAGGCCAATGTCAGCACTTTGAATTGAGCCCAGTAGCAAATCAGTAGCCAGTGGAGTTGGCGCAGCAGGGGGTTTGTATGCTCCCTGCGCTCCGCTCCTGTTAGAATCATGGCTGCCGAGCGTTGGACTAGTTGGAGCTTCCGAGCCGTCTTCAAAGGCAACCCCACGTAGAGAACGTTGCAGTAGTCTAAACGGGATGTAACCAGAGCGTGGACTACCGTGGCCAAGTCAGACTTCCCAAGGTACGGGCGCAGCTGGCGCACAAGCTTTAACTGTGCAAATGCTCCTCTGGTCACTGCCGAAACCTGGGGTTCCAGGCTCAGCGATGAGTCCAGGGTCACACCCAAGCTGCGAACCTGCGTCTTCAGGGGGAGTGCGACCCCATCCAACACAGGCTGTAACCCTATACCCTGTTCGGCCTTGCGACTGACCAGGAGTACCTCTGTCTTGTCTGGATTCAATTTCAATTTGTTCGCCCTCATCCAGACCGTCACAGCAGCCAAGCACCGGTTCAGGACCTGGACAGCCTCCTTAGTAGCAGGTGGAAAGGAGTGACAGAATTGGACATCATCCGCGTACAGATGACACCGTACCCCGAAACTCCGGATGATCTCCCCCAGCGGCTTCATGTAGATGTTAAACAACATGGGAGACAATATTGAGCCCTGAGGAACCCCACAAGACAATGGTTGTGGTGTTGAACAGGTGTCTCCCAGTAACACCTTCTGAGAATGACCCTCTAGGAATGACCGGAGCCACTGCAAAACAGTACCTCCGAGACCCATCCCGCGAGGCGTCCCAGAAGGATACCGTGGTCGACGGTATCGAAGGCCGCTGAGAGGTCCAGCAGCACCAACAGGAACACACTCCCCCTGTCGAGCTCCCGGCGCAGATCATCCACTAAGGCGACCAAGGCTGTCTCGGTACCATGCCCCGGCCTAAAGCCAGACTGTGCCGGATCCAGATAATCCGTGTCTACCAAGAATACCTGGAGTTGTGAGGCCACCACACGTTCCAAGACTTTGCCCAAAAAGGGGAGATTGGAAACTGGCCGATAGTTGTCGAATTTAGTGGGGTCCAGTGATGGTTTTTTCAACAGCGGTTTTATTATAGCTTGTTTTAAGCTCACTGGAATCTTGCCTTCCCGAAGGGAGGCATTAACCACCACCTCAACCCACTCAGCCAATCCCCCTCTGGCCTCCTTTAGAAGCCAGGATGGGCAGGGGTCCAGGATGCATGTGGTTGGCCTCATTCCTCCAAGTATCTTGTCCAAGTATCTTTGTGATAGCACTGAGGTCAGTCTGACACTAGATATTATCTGATGTAGGAGTGCCTAGGATTATGTACAATGGCAAAGAAAATAGTTTTGCAATCTTATGACCCAAATAGACTATTGATAGAACTCCAAGACTTTACTTGGATGGAAGATGCTAACTGATGTGACTGCAATAGTTGCATAAAACTCAGGTAAGCAGTTCTTAATGAAAGCTGTAAATCAAAGAAGAACACAAGTAAAAACAGACATTAGCATCCATGAAATGAGTAGGACTACTTTAGAAGCAAACTTGCCAAAGTTAATTCACAGGTATTATTTTTTTCTGCTGTTATCAAGCTCTGACAAAATCAGTGCTGTATGCTTGCAATAAAAAAAACCCCTGGGAACAGTAGTGACGGAACAGGAGGAACAACAGACTCACTGAAGATCCAGTGGGCCATTTGGCTCTCAACTGCATTCGGATTACATGCATTTAAAGAACAGAAGACTTTTCACGCAGCCAATGGGAAGGATATAGGTAGCAAAAATATATTGTATTTGATAATTAGCTATGCCAACTGCACTTCAACGCTACATTGTAATTAGGGCCAATAAAACAAAGATTTGTGAAACTGGAGTAGGCAATGTCATACCTATAGAGCATCACTGTGTTCTCTATCACTTTGGTAGGCACTCTGCTGCCTCTATTATAATTTCTGACATACTTTCTTTGGTGACTACAAAGCAACACACCTGGTTGGCACTTACCTTTTTTGTTTTCTTCCCCTATGTAATGTGCTTAGAGAGTGAAGCACGCAAACGGATGCAGGCCAGGTTTTGTAATGCAAAGGTGGTGCATCTGCACTGTAGAATTAATGTAGTTTGATACCAGTTTAATGGCCATGGCTCAGTGCTATGGATTAATGGGAGCTGTAGCTTGGTAAGGCACCAGCACTCTTTGGCACAGAAGGCTAAAGTCTTTGTAAAACTATTGAGTGATTTCAGCTACTACAAAAACCGTAGGTTCTGTGGATGCAGTGTTTTACTTTCCAAAAGGTCCAATTAGACACAAATGGAGCAGAAGGCAAAAGCAGGGTTTTTATTCTCAATGGCCAAAGAGGATGTCAACAGAGGAAGCATTCCAAAGTACTGACATATCGCAATTGCAAGTACAGTGCATTTTTATTTCATTTGACAGCTATTCAAGAAACCTGCACCAGCTCCTGATTGGTCCAGAAGCTATCCAGCTAGGATCTGCATCCTGAGTGACTCAGGACTCTGTCCAACACCATCACTGGCTGACTCTTTGAGTGGTAGGGAGTTCAATAAACTGCCATTAGACCCTTTGAAGTATCAATTCATTTATTGATCTGTCCCAAGAGGGGCACGATCAGAAAGATATGTGGCTTGGCATTGGGTAATGAGTCCATGATGTGCTTAATGGGCTGATTATGGTGGAAACAATAGGATTAGTCCAAAGTTCACAATGGGTGCTTGAAGAAGATGACCAATGCAATATGTGTTGTAAGGGGGATGTTGGTTCGAGCCATGGGAGAGGGATCATTCCCATAGATAGCCCCAATCATATCAATGGGAGCAAGAAAAGGAAGAGTGTGGCAGCTGGACTGTGGAAGTTGTAATTCCTAAATGCTTGATGTGTAGGGTACATACAGTATTTCCTGTTCATGATCTGGTGAAATAATATGGCATTCAGGCATGCTCCTGCTTTCTGGGAAAGCTATTTATCTTTTTAACTTCATCAGTCTGCTGTCTATAAAGCAATGGTTTGGAGTCTCCCATACCCTCTAACTGTTCTGATTCCCCCAATAATCTTGTTTCCCCACTTTTGTTTTTTTGTTTTTCAAAATGCCTTTCTCCTATCTTTCTCGCAACAATCATATTGTGGCCTGACTTTGAGACCAACTACAATGACCATTTAATAAAGTTTCAAGCCAGGATTGAAGAAAGAGATTTTTCTGCGCAGATGACATAGGGAATCCTAGTTTGAGGCCCAATGGTTTGTTTTTGTTTTTTTGTCGTGTCAGGAGCAACCGCTCCTGTTGTGAGAGAATTGGCTGTCTGCAAGGACGTTGCCCAGGGGATGCCTGGATGATTTTTGATGTTTTATCATCCTTGTGGGAGGCTTCTCTCATGTCCCCGCATGAGGAGCTGGAGCTAATAGAGGGAGCTCATCCGCCTCTCCCCGGATTCGAACCTGCGACCTGTCGGTCTTCAGTCCTGCCGGCACAGGGCTTTAACCCACTGGGGGCTCCAATGGTGATGATACAAACCACAAAACACTGATGTGCATTAAGGGCTTTCTTTTGTTCACTTTTGTGGGAGTTAGTCTAGCCAGTCTGTATATATGTTCTTTGGGTGTGTATATATGTGTGTTTGCGTATATATATATGTGGTTTTGCACATGCGTTGTAATGGGGTTTATATATATATATATATATTGGCTTTTTAAGTCTCTTCTGCTATGTTTTTCAGTGTTTTTATGAGTGATGGTCACTCATTGGCCTGATAGGTGTCTTGTGTCCAAATTTGGTGTCAATTCGTACAGTGGTTTTGGAGTTCTGTTAATCCCACAAACGAACATTACATTTTTATTTATATAGAAGAAGATGTGGGATTTATTTATTTACTTTATTTATATACCGCTTTTCTCAGCGATACAAAACATCACGAGACAAGTATAGGGCAATTAAAAACAATTGTAACATAAATCATTAAACATCAGTATAACAATCATTAGTGCCTCGACAGTAAAATCAGAATCCAGTCTCATCATCCATTATTCCGTATTCCTATGTTCAAATCCACAACCTTAGAATCATAGAATCCTTGAGGTGGAAGAGACCTCATGGGCCATCCAGTCCAACCCCCTGCCAAGAAGCAGGAAAATTGCATTCAAAGCACCCCTGTGCCTTCTATCCCAGAATATCAGGGCAGAAAATCCCACATTATCTGAGTGGGGACTCAGATAACCCAGTTCAAAGCAGATCTTGTGGGATTTCCTGCCTTGATATTCTGGGATAGAGGACTGTGTGCAAGGGGCCTGAGAAGCTCATATGAGAGAGAGGAGGCTTTCAGACCATTCTAAAGACAGGTGGGCGGAGCCCTAGGCAGTGGGCGGGGCCTAAGCAGAGAAAACGTGACGGACCCCCTGTCACTGTGAGCCAAGGCCACGCCGCTCCTGTTTGCCGAAGGAGCGCAAAGGCGCATGCGCAAGGGCGTTGGATCGCGTGCGGGCGGAGCCGGAGGCCCGCGCCTGCGCAGTGCACAGCGGGGCAGCCTATAACCGCCGCCCGGCGCCGCGTGCAACCTTTTACCCGACGTCACTTGACGGCGCAACACGGAAGTGCCATGGCGGCGGCGGGAGGAGACAGTACAGGCGACGGATCGCACCGTGCGGCTCAGCGGAGGCTGCGCATCCTCTCGGGCCACCTGCACGCTCCTCCGGACACGCAGCTGTCAGCGAACCCGTGCCGAGGGCGGGCTGCCACGGCCCCGTCGGCCGCATCCCAGTCGAGAGTCTTCCCCAAGAGGCGGTAAGAGGCGGAGGGCAGCCCGGCCTCGTCCCCCAGTCACGAGAGAACCCGAAGAACTTAGGTCTCGCCGCCGCCTCTCAGGCCGGCTCCATACCAGGCAGGGGCAGGCTAAAGAATGGTGGGAATTGAAGTCCAAAGCACCTGGAGAGCTGAAGTATACCCCTGCCTGCGCTTAGATCAGTGGTTCTCAGCCTGTGTCCCCCCAGATGTTTTGGCCTTCAACTCCCAGAAATCCCAACAGCTGGTAAACTGGCTGTGATTTCTGGGAGTTGTAGGCCAAAACACCTGGGGACCCACAGGTTGAGAACACTGGCTTAGATCCTTGATTTAGTGTAGGCATGTGGAGCTTCATCCCAATAAAGTGCTAGTAAGAGATCTGAAATTCCAGAGTTTCACATCTCAATAGGCCTGATCTCAGAAAAGCCTTCCCATTCTGTACTGTCTTGCTCCCTCCCCTTACGACCAAGAATGTTAGTTAGACTGAAACCTGTTTGCATCAAACGTGTTGTATAATTTGGATAAGACATGAATGCATAATATAAATTCACACCCTGAGCTTGTCATCTGGAGTGTCACAAAATTAAATGGCTGTTTGCATAAGGAAACACTCCATCAGTAATCAGTATAAAGTTGCACCAGTCGATATCTACTGGAAGTCCTGGAAGGCAGTTATTTATTATTATTATTATTATTATTATTATTTACTACATTTCTACCCTGTGTTTCTTGACTCTGAAGGGAACTCAAGACAGCTTACAAATCTGGCAAAAATTCAAAGTTCTGTCACCCAGATAGTGTTACAAGAGAGCTATCCTGGTATTTGGCTGCAGATGTTGGTTTATTTTAGGACCTGGGTTGTTATTGTACTTGTATTTGTATGAGAATTGATGGTGTTGTCGAGGCATTGAATGTTTGCCTTTTGTTTGTTGGAATCCGCCTAGAGTCCCCTCCGAGAGATAGGGCAGAATACAAATAAAGTTTTATTGTTGTTATTATTATTACTCCTGTGGCCAGCAGGTTGCCATAACAGTGTTGTTCTAAAATAGTCTCCAGATTCCAAGGCACAGCATATGTAAAGCTGCTGGATACCTCCTTGCTGGCATATTCATTCATTCATTCATTCATTCATTCATCATATCAGAAGCAAATTGAGAATACAGTTATAATATATTTTTAAAAAACCCACGAAGTAAGTTAAAGAATTGGCAATTTACTAAATGTCCCTTGACCACTAGCTGACCCCTTGGAGTGCCTCTGGTGTCTCTGTAAAAAGGTCCTCTATTGTGCATATGGCAGGGTTCAGGTTGTGTTGTAGTAGGTGGTCTGCTCTTCTCCACACTCACATATCATAGACTCAATTTGGTAGACCCATTTCTTAAGATTGGTTCTGCATCTCAGCGCCTTCCAAGTAACCTAGTCATATGCTGTCATAGCCCCTGCTTAGGCTAATCTAAGTAAGCAAGAGCATTCTGGCCTTATATACAATTTGAGATGCAGTCCTCTCCACTTACATAGGAGTAGGCCTTAGTTGGTCCTATAGATTTTATTCAATCAGGCTTTTTGTGTGCTTTTTATAAACTTAACAAGTCAGCATTCTGAAACCAATCTCTTCTGTTTAGAAATTTGCTCTAATTTTTATAGATAACAAGCTCTTGTTGTGTACTCATCAATGTTGAAATTCTTCCCTGTGTGGGTAGTAGTTTTTCCTTCATTTTTCTTTGTATTCTTAATTTCATTTGTGCTGTTGTTGTATTTTATCAGTATGTTTTTCCTTGTTTGTATGTTTGAATAAAATTATTTAATTTTTAAAATACATTGTTTGCCATGCTGAATACCTTTGAGGGAAGTCGAAATGATAGCAAGCTTCTGTTATTGCCCAGTAGACATGAATTCCATGTTCACGTTTAGCTCATATGTTCTCCAGTTTTAACCAGAAGCACACAAATTTAGCTGTAGAAGTTACTGGGCTGTAATGTTTAAAGTAACTAAAATGCACTTTTAATCTTTTTATTTACTTATTCTGAAAAATAAGCCGATTGAAGTAACGATTGAGAGATATGTGTTATGTGTGTGCATAGCTTGTCTTGTATATGCATGGAAATATAGAGAATAAACTTCAACAAGTTGGTTTAAAGACTGTTTACTGCATATGTACATATCTGTTATTTAAAATTAAGTTCATATTCTGTAATAGTGGTAGTAACAGATGTTTATTGTGAGCAGCATTTGATGATTACTTAGATCCAGATGCCTGTGTTGAAATTTTAATAATCTCTATTCCTAATGAATACTTTATGGACCCAGACTAGGGTATGGAAAGAATTAGAAAAGGCTCGACAATAAGGTCTTTCATCTTTTAAAAATGTTGGCAGAAAGAGATGCATCATGAATGGGACCATTGCAATGTCGAAGAGTGTTAGCCCATTTCTCTGGATGATATCTTTATGACCGCTGCACACACTATGCATACATTTTCCCCTGGGAAGGCACATAAATAGCTCAGGCTGAAGCCTGACAATCTTCTCAAGAAAATAATTGTGAGGAAAAGACCCCCAAATATGGCTTTAATCTGGATTATTCCTGTTTCTGGCTGATAGTTATCAGCATTTAAAAAGACATAGCCATGCTCACAGCTGCCATTCATATTGTTGCCTCTGAGCCAGATAAATTTGTTTATGTAAAATGATTTGCTGTGTGTGGTGGCAACAATATGTCTCTTTGTTGACATCTACATCAGGCATGGGCAAACTTCAGCCCTCCAGGTGTTTTGGACTTCAACTCCCTGGCTGTTATTTATTTATTTCACTTTTACCCCGGCCTTCTCCCCCTAAGAGGGGACTCAAGGCAGCCTCACATAAGCTATCATCATATAAATAGTCAACAATACATTAAAACATTAAAAACAATTCATTAAAACAATAGATTAGTCATGCCAGTTAAAACCAAATCCAAGTCTGGGGTTAAATCAATGTCGCAGTATCCAAGTCTTCTTTCCAATTGCCGCTGTCGACTAATTGAATGCCTGGCCCCAAAACCAAATCTTCAGTTTTCTTCTAAAGGACAGGAGGGAGATGGCCAACCTGATGTCCCTGGGGAGATAGTTCCACAGACGGGGGGCCAATGCCAAGAAGACCCTGTCTCTCACCCCACCAATTGCGTTTGCGATGTTGGTGGGATTGAGAGCAGGGCCTCTTCTGAAGATCTTAAACTTTGTGATGGTTCGTAACAGGAGATGTGTTCGGACAGGTAGTCTGAGCCAGAACCAGGTCCAGATTGTTAGGAATTGTGTGGACTCTTTTTGGAAAATGCTATTCTTAAAAGGAGAAAAACATTTTTAATTAGATATAAAAAAAACCAGCTGTAATTCTGGGCAGGGTATGATTGCAAAACAGAATAAGCAACACCTTTCTTATCAGAAAATGTTGTGTCAGACAGGAATTCAATGGGTATAGCAAGAGAAATGTATGGGAGATATATTATGAAATGGCAAGAATAATGATTAGAAAATTATTCACTGTGGGCCATCCAGTCCAACCCCTGCCAAAAAGCAGGAAAATTGCATGCTTATTAAACATTCTTATTTTTCTAACCCTAGCTTGCACAGCAACAACTGAATTTTCTTTAGAAAAGAAAGCTGCATGCTTTGTAAGAGAAAAACACCTTTTCCTAACCTTGACTATTGATGATTTTATTTATGCCATTTTTCTTTAGCTTTGCTTCCTTTGAATGAAAATAATTCACACACTATTCCACATACTAATAATCAGTCAGTTTTTATTGTACAGTCATAGACAATTAAAACAAAGATATCCATCTGATGAAGAAAAGATCAACAATATAAAACTGGGATAATATCAAATCAAGAATTATTTGAAAATTTTAAAACACAATAAGCTTAGTAACATTTATTATATTTTAAAAGGCAAGACAAACCCCAAGTATCACATATGTGTGTGAGTCATAATTTTATGAATCTTAACAGCAGAAAGCAGGAACTTTGCTACAATTTCTGCTGAACACTTTTAACTCAAGTATCATTTGGAGAGCCTTCCAGGAAAATTAAGGGGAGTGTAATCCATCTTAAACTCAATTTTTTGTAAGAATTACAAAAAAATTGCATACAGAGAATATTGTATATTTATATCTTTAATCCAGACAACAAAAATAAGTTTTGCCTTAGAAAAGTCTTGGGTGGGAGAAACATTATCTTTGCTTTGTTTTTGATATTTGCAGACCACTGGCTAATGTAGTTGTTGTCTTGAAAAAATGCATATGCCCTGATTTGGGTCTTGCATTAGAAAGTCTTAGCCAATATCTTAAGTATCCAACATCAAACAGTATATTCCACTGATGAAAAGCCACCTTTAAGCATCAAAACCACTTATAACTCTGTTTTATATGTACTACTAATATTTTGCATTTATTACCTCCTTATGCAACCAGGCTGCCATTTCTTACTGGACTATGAAGCCCATATTGCGATTTTAAAATACTTTGTGTGTTAGTAACAGGAGACAAACGCCCAAGTTAGAAGATATTTATCTGCAATTTATAGACTGAAGCAACAGTTGATTATATTCATGTAATACTGCAATTTTAATTTCTGATGTACTACCTTGAGGTGACACCTGGCTGCACAGAAGTAGGTTATTGCAACAGTATTCACATATGTCTGTGTGTCACATCGATAAAGCAGAGCTACAAAAAAAATTAATGAGCTCTTGGGACTTGGGATGGCATATTTTGGGGAATTCTGACAGGTGTTTTGACCATACAGAATGTTGTTGACCAAGCAGAAGACTGCAGGAAATTCATGTCCTAGGTAAGCTGGCAGATCCAGATCTTTCAAGGCCTCTTATCTTTCTGAATGAATATTGTAGTTTGTATGAGAGCCCAGAGTTACATCTCTTCACACATGCTTGGTTCTGGTTGCGGGACCAGAGAAGAGTCATTCTCAGAGTCTGAAACTGTGGGTGTGCACACATGTCTGGAAGTTACAA